CTCGTCCCTTACTGAAATGATGTTTTGGGCGATCTCATGGAAACTAGATCACCGTATTTTCCCTAGCCTCAGATAAGGCCCATATGCGCACGTTTTGGTGCACAGAGTGTATGTGGAGCCTGCTAGCAGATTTAAACTGCTGATTCGTATCCGTCAACGAGAAAACCAATTGCTTCAGGATTTCCCCTCCCGCTTCCCCCTCCCTCCTCCCCCACCCTTCCTCCACCTCCCCCTGGTTAGACGGGCTCCTGAGTGCCCAGCGTGTATGAAAGTCAAGCTAGCTTCATCCAGAATCACAAATTCAAGACCATTGGGGAAAAAAGTGACTGTAGTTTTTTTGATACTAAGCTTACTGTAGTTTCATACTAACCTTTTTACTGCAGTTGGCCCTCTTCCAGCTTCTCCCAGCCCAGTATTTGAACAAAATCAAATACGTATTTAAATCAGATGTTTTTTTTAACAGAACACTGAACAGATGCCATCTACAACACAAAGCACACGAAACAAGCAAGATGCTGAAGCATTACATGCAGACAATATGAGTGCAAAATTTAGCTGTGAAAATACGATCAATGACAGAGAATGTTATTTGGATACAGGTCTTAAAGCACCAAAAGATCGCGACGAGAAACGGTGCGTGCTTCTTTTTTAATGCTCAATAATTTCATTTTACTGGAACAGTATAGCTCTGTTATGTTCGCGAACCAACACAAAGCTGATGGTACCATAATCTATTTATTTACTAATAAGGTCCGATCGTGACGCTGAAGCGGAATGTACACAAATTAGTGAACCGAAATCTCCCTCTTTGGTTTCATCGCAAATCTAATTCAGCACATTCACTTTTATTTTTGTTTTTTGCTAATTTATTTTTATTTTTCTTATCTCTAAAATTTCCAAATTTCCCTAATTTGCTAATTCCAGCTTAGTTTTAATTGCAATTCTATTTTCCAGTTCCAGTCTCAGCATGGCATGAGGGGTTTCGTAGAAATCATGAAAAAAATGTGAACTTCGATAAGCAAGGAAAATATGCTTGCGCTTAGTGAATGTTAAATTTCGGTGACAGGTTCTCCGACGGACACTTGAAGAGTCCCTGAGTAGGTAGCCTACACAAGCGCGAGAGCGTATGTAAGCTGCTATCTATTCAAAGATCCTTCTAGCAAGCTAGAGGCGCCGAAAGCAATTCAAAACACCAGGATTTGAGACCCGGCGACTGAGCGTATCTCAGGGTTTGAGGCCCGACGCGTGGTTGCATCCCGTGGATATCAATAAACCTCGATTATTCTTAGACAATCCGGAAAATCCCAGCGGCGCAAGACCAATGTAATGGGCAGTGATCGTTTCGGTAAAAAGGGATTGCGGAGCATGGATGATGAGTACGGGCCAGCCTTGGAGCTGGTATTTTGGTCGTTGGCCATGAACAAAGACAAATTCCGTTTAGGCCAATAAATTACAAAATTCTCGGAAATCTGGACAGCTCGTTTGCATCTTGCGAATTTTCAGTGGAAAATACACTTGCGCTGGAACCTATCAATTTGCCTAGTGCGTTAGTTCTCTTTCTCCTGAAAATGTAAAAATTTGCTGCCAACAGAAGGAGATGAAGGAAAAATCATCAAATTCAAACACAAAATTCATTAGGAATTACGGATAAAATGCCGAGAGACGCGCGGAAAAGATGT